GGGATGTAGGCCAGTGCATGCGACGCTGTGAAAATCTTTTTCTAGGTCGCCAACAAAAGCTCAACACCTTCATTAAGTACAATAGGTAGGATGCTAAGGATATAGATCAATAGCATATCTTATGGCATCTTCATTCGCCACAGTTCTGACAGCAAACCTACAACTGGTTCTCTATTTATGTGCTAGTGACAATAGAAAAATCTTGTACGTGTATTTTGGTTTCGGTCAATCGAGTTTTGCAGGGATGTTATTATGTGAACGATGTACAAAAAAGCGCCTAACGATATTTTTATGCAGTAAAAAGTCATAGAGAAAAATTTTGGAATTAGAAAGAAATGTTAAATTATTTTATCGCTATTCACAACCTTTAAAAATTTTTCTGTTTGCAACAACGGCATGTTTTCATTTGAATAAAAAGGATTGCTCTGACGGTGAACCTTTGCCGAGTTATGCTATTTAAAGTAAAAAGTCCCTGAAAGATAGACTTAAATTGTTTGGTCAAATGTCCACAGATATGTACTTCTTCCAAAGTTTTTACTTTGACACTACGGAAAACCAAAAACACTCCACTTTTTGGCTCATTTCACTCCGATAGCTTTATTTTTTTGCCACCAACGATGAGTAGTGGTAGTTTTTCTCTAAAGCGGCGTTTCCACGCCAACCGAATCAGGTGGTTCGCTCTCTCAATTACGAACGGCGTATCAACCTGTTTACACGCCACATTCTTGATTTACTTTGCATCTCTGCTTCTTGTTCTTTGCTTTTGTTTATTGCTTAGGGCCGTTTACTCAATATGTGGTTAACACTAATCTCCGTTTAAACATCATTATCGACGTGTTCGGCTCCATGCATATAACATGGAGTCGGTAACGTCGATAACGATGTTTTACCGGAGATTAGTGTTAACCAGACATTGAGTAACCGGCCCTTAATGTGTTGTTTATTGTGCATTTCAACGGTGGAGGAAAAATGTGTAGTGATTAAATAGCTAAATCAATAGTTTAAACTAATCTAGCTACTTTTTTAATGTTAGTCCTGGTGGGGATGTGTGGTCTGTTTGTTTTGACAAAATAAAAATTAGAGAAGACAATGATTTTTCGTGATTCGCATGGTGATTGGATCTGAATTACCTACAAATGAAGTGATTCGCTTTCAAACTTTTGTATGGCGAATTACGTGATTCGGTTCGTGATTGGAGCGCCAATCCGGAATGAGAGAGCGAATTACGAATGAGAGAGCGAACCACTTGGCGTGGAAACATCGTTTAAAACGCTCAAACTATCGATAGTACTAGTTGCCTATCGATAGTTTAACACCTCTAGCACAGCCGATTTTATTCATAACTAGCAAATACCCGGCGACTTTACTGCGCCTAGAAGTATTTTTGTGCTGTTTGATACCCGTAATGTAAAATTTCACTTATTATATCAATTTAATAGAATACAAACTTTCAAACGGGTTGTAACCCTCCTCTAAAATATTTTCGGCAGTAAAGCTCTTCATTTTGATATCTATATTGGAGCATTAAATTTTTCTTATTAATTGAATTGAACAGGTGGCAACCCTCAACAAAAACGTTTTCGGCTGTAATCCTTCTAAACCTTTTTCTTTTGACAGTCATATTACAATATTTTCTTTTTATTATTATTTTTAGTTAGACCTCGGTGAAAACTGCGTTCAATTCCATGCACTAGTTTTCGGGTGATGCGCGTACAAACATACAGAAGGACAGAAAAAAATCTAAAAGTTGTTGATTTGCTTCTGTTGCTCAAATAAAGACCTCCCAAATTAATATTTCTTTAATATTTATAATGTACGGACATCGGCCTGTTACAATTTTATTATTTGTATATATTTCTCCATTTTGTGTACCTGCTCGTCGCTTTGGTAAGATTGCAAATATTTTATTGTAAGTGATTCTCTGGGCAGTTTGCCTGTTATAAGCATGCGAGCAACAAATTTGGCAGTAAGTTAACCCTCTAGTAGGCCAAATTTTTATGAGTTGAAAAATTCAGGAATGGGTGATTTTAGCACGAGAAATCCAAAACTGATGTCCATTTCGATCTGTGACAGTAACTTTTTCCTACAGGGGAGAAAAACCAAGACCGTCTGGAGACGGGCTCGCCGATATACTTACACATATTTTCAGCTTTCTCTTACACAATGTTGACGTACGAACCGGCAATGCCGTCTGCAGACAGTCAAAAATGCAAAACTGGGGTTTTATATGTCGGCAAGCCGTTCTGTAAACGGTCTGTGTTCGAAAGAAATTTTCTCCATTTAGAATGGTGACATAATTATAAAACTTATATTAAAATATGGTGCTTTTAACAATGAAATCCACCGAATTTTTTTATATGAAAAAATTTTTCAAAAGAAAAAATTTCTTTAATTACGAAATTACTAAATAGCAAGAAATAATTAATTTTAACCGTGTTTTCAAAATCTGTAATTCAACTGCCGATTAAAATAAAACGGATTGACATAACGGATTAAAATTTACTTCGCCGTAAGGGTACGATTTTTGTCTAAAGATCGTGCCTTACGAATATAGAAAAAAATTATTATAGGTGCACTAAAAAGGTGTTTAGTTAACGACCGTCTGGAGGCGGTTCTGCCTACTAGAGGGTTAAAGCACCGGTTATCTTTAACTGACAGTCTATAAAACGGCTCTCATGTGAAATTTTGATATAACAATAAAAATTTATTTCGGTACAAGTTAAGAACAGAGCCCATTCGGGGCGACAAATGGATAATAGTGGGATTCATGAAACGTCGCAAAGTTGTTGCAAATGACGCATTGGTTGCAAAATTGCCACCTTGCGGCACAGCTGATTACTTTTGTATGGAAACTTTCTTGCAACAACAGTGTGACATTGCCATGTTATTTCAGCTGGCAATCATTGCAAAGTCAAAGTCGCGAAACACATGTTCTCTTATTGTCTTCGAATACTTCAAGAAAAATTATATCAGTTAAGGCTGCTTCGAAATATAACTGTATAAAGTTTTCATTTCGACTTACACGAGGCATTTTTAAAAAAAATTATTTTGCAATCCGGAGTTGCAATATGTCGTTCATACAACTTTGTTTGCAACGTTGCCACTTCGCCAAAAACGCCATTTTGTGACGCTATTAATATTAATGTGACATATATTAATAGTACTTTTTAGTTTTTCAGATTTGTCTCTTTGTTTTCTCAAGCAACCTTTAATTTTAAAGCTCAATTTATATTTAAAGGTTGCTTTAAAATTTATAGCTATGTCTAAAGTAAAGCAATTCTATTATCGGTTTTCGACGTCTCTTGGGTGTAAACAAATTAAAAACAGAGAATTAAATGATTTACTTTCGGCAAAACTACATATAAATTTTACATCAACCCTTAAATATAAAGTGAGCTTTAAATTTAAAGGTTACTTGAGGAATCGGCCATTTGTTTATCTGCCCTTCAAACACATTTTTCAGAACCAAATTTGTGTTTAAATTGTAGATAACTTTTAAAACCTACTTGAGAAAACGGTGTGTGTGTGTTTATGTTCCCAATTAAATGTTTTTTTTTTTGTATTTCGATGCCGTCCCAGTTAACTTGGAACAGTTGTTAGCATTTCCATTGACTGTCGATAGTACTATCGGTAGTAGCGCTTGCCACTATCGATAGCATTGATAGTATAGACCCTGCAAGAAGCCTGACCTATGATTATCGGTTAAATTATTGGGAAAACTGACTAAAACTTTTCGTCAGTTTAGCGGTTAGTTTTGTATGGGCTTGGGGAAAAAGTGACCACTTCTCCGCGCGTGTGATAATGCATCCCTTTCTTGCACACACATGGGTGCATTTGCCTTATAGTATTTTCACTCGCTCATACATGGCATCTAGTTGGTGATGTACAAGTGAGTTTAGCGACGAAACTATTGGGAAAATATCACGATAATTAGTGATTTTTCTGGCCACTATTCTAACTTCTAAATAATTGATAAATTAGTGAATATATGGCAGCGAAATATCAAAAATACATGCAACGAAATTAAAAAATGCAATTCGATTTTGTTTATGTGTTTGTTTTATTTATAAAAATATATTATCGCAAGCTTTTTTAGGGCTACTGAGCTCAGACAATTCTTCTAATTTTTCATCGGTTCTGAATTTTCGTCACAAAAAAACAAATTCTTCAGCGCTGTTTGGTCCTTCTTCCTCCATTCCTAGGGCTGGAGTCCCACGTTGGCGTTGCATTGAATTTCAGCACTGTAGTCACTGACTCCACAGTCGGCCTAAGCGCACTGGCCTCAAATGTTTTCTTCTCTATCCAAATACAAATTGAATACATTGGTTTCACCGCCTTCTTCTATATTTTGCACCACAGCTAACAATGAAGTAAATTTTTTTGATGTATGTATGTATGTACATATGTATGCGAGCGTACAATCGATAGTTTGTTCTCGATATGGTCAGCCATTTTTTGCAGGGGATAGTATCAACGAATACCGATAGTTTTTTTCTTAAATATGAAAACTATCGATGGTGGCCCTATCGATAGTTTTACAATTCTACTATCGCGTTGGTCTGCGCAGGCTTTTAATTGAAAAACACTTGTGCGTTCGATTTCTATCGCAATCTCCATCACTGTCGCTATCGCGTTGGTGTGCGCCTAGCTGAAAGCAACCAAATCCGACTGGCATTCTACATGCACATATACATATATATATTTGCATGCCATCAAGGCGAATTAATACAAGATGGTAGCAAGAATACAACAACAACAACCACATGTATTTTGTATTGCAGGCAGCGTTGCCAAAAAGTTTCGGCTATTCATCGTCAATTGAGGGAGAAAAATCGTAATTTTTAATGAAAAATCGTAATTTTTAATGAAAAATCGTCTTTTTCCATTTTGTTATTTTTTTATTAAAAAACATACATATGTTTACTAACTTCATTAATATGTATTAAATAATATTACTATACTACATACATGCATATGTATAATAAGCAAAATAAGGCGTGTATAAATTTACAAGACTGAAATCAAAATACGTACATATGTATACAAACATACATTTTGAATTTTAGTTTTACTGAGATGGTTTCATGGTTTTTGCGATCTTAGGATCGATTTTCAGTTCATAACAGAAGCATTTATTAACTGATAGGTAGTCTTGGGTAAATAAAATACCCTATAGAGTTCCACTCTCCAGTCTATTCCTGTATTTAGTTTTATTTAAATTCACTTTTGAGAATATGCGTTCAACATTTGCGGATGAACTGGGAAGGCACAACAAATCTGATACAAACTTAGACAACGTGGGAAATACATATTCAGTGTTTGCGCGTGTAATTTTAGATATTGTAGCCCAAAAGTCTTCGTAATTAATGTTAACCAAAGATTTAAAATATTCATCAAAATTTAAGTGGCGTAACTCTCTAAACTCATCATCTAAGTTCTGCATGTCAGCTTGAGAAATTAAATTTGGAAATCGGTTTGTTATGTTTTGTAACGAAGTGATATTTTTATTTAAAATCTTGCCAGGGTTCATAAAAGACAGTTCCTTTAAAGTTATATCGTTAAATTCAAATCTGAATTTTATTTGTTTGCAAAACTCTATGTAAAAAGCAATGCAATTGTTGGTGATTTCTTTTAATTCAAGAGGAGATAATTTGCTATCAGCAATTTTTTTTGATACATAAACCCCTAAGTATACGTTCTCCTCATTTAACATGTTTGCTCTATTTTCAAATTCAAGTTCATTAATACGATTTGAATTTAAATATCGTGGTTGAATGAAATTATCCAAAATTTTAAGGAATAACCGTAACATTTCCTCATGCATTCCGGGTATTTGGGAGCTTGAGCTTTGAAATATTTTATTACCGTTATTTATGATGTGAAGAATATACTTCAAAAAACTTAAATCTATATGGTCCACATTAGACGCAAATGCAAAATATATTTTTAACGGTTCATACAGCTCAAGAACACGATTCACCACAGCCTCTAAAGATACCCATCTAGTTTGAGCGGGATGTAACATATTTTTGGTTTGAATTCTAAAATTGAAGCAATTTTTATGAATTGCGCATTTCGCTTGGGGCTATTTGCAATGTTACAATGTTGCAATTGTACACATCTCATACTAAAGACTCTACGCCGGATGGAAGCTTAAGGCACGAATATGATGAACAAAGTGCGATTGATTGACATATGCATTTCATAATAAATAAATCTGGAACGTCAACTTTTAACAGTTTAGCAACAGAATGATTTTTGCCTGTCATATTCGGTGCACCATCCGCAGCAAATCCAATTAAGTTAGTTTTATAACAAATATTGTTTTTTCGAAATATTGTATATGCTTCGTGAATCATAGTTTTCTACTTCAATTAATCCAAAAAACAAGTCTTTAATGGAAAAATTTATTGCAACCCTAGCCACTAAGCACAATGATTTCTTGTTGGATATATCGATCGACTCGTCGATACACAGGAAAACTTTTTTTTACGTAAAAGCTGGCATAAATATTCAAATTGGGTAGGGCCCAATACATTTTTGACGAGGTTTGTCGTTTTTGTTCGAGCGCAGGAAATTTGTTGAGCAATTTTTGAATCCGGAATGGATTTTTTTAAAAACAGTGACAAATGGTCCATGCAGGAGAAGGGCAGGTTATGTTCCGCTATAAATGCACTTAACTGAAGTTCCAAGGTTTGTACCAGTCTCGTTTCTCTAGTGTTATTTCTGAACTGCTCCGCAATAGTGGTTTGACCATTCGTAATACAAATTGATCTGGTTTTGTGCTTTTGGGTATTCTTGTGGCTTATTAAATCTGATTTGCCGGAACTCACTTTAAGAAAGGCATTGCATACCTTGCAAAAAAGTTCTTCATCACCTGCAGCAGTTTCCTTTTTAATTAGCCAATCACTGAAATCAGCAATCCATGAGGAGCATATCTTTCGCCTATTAGTTTTTGGGACCTGATATATGAATTAAACAGAAAAAGCCTTTACGTGTTTATAGGTATGCACTTACATCTTCATTTTCGTTCAGCACAACACTCTCCTCTTCACAAGCATTGTTATTACCATCTGCGAGACGAATTTCAATGATTGAACATAAATACATATATGTATTACTGCACTTGTGAATGCGTTTACTTTACTTCAATATAAATAATTTATCTGACAACTTACCAGTTCGAATCAAAAATCTGTCCATTTTTCTTTTTGTTAATTTTTATTTACGCGCTGAGAAGTACTGATGTGTAATACAACACAGTGCTGTGTTACTGTGCTAACACTCATCGATGTGCCGCACGCACAGGCACACTTTTCGATTAAACGATAGCACAGTAGCACACTTGGCACAGTATGAAAGCACAAACTGGGAAGTGTTTTTAGCACACATGGCACACTCTGCTGTGTTGAGTGCTCTCGCCGCCAATAATCGCAAAACATAAGGAAATAGCAAATTCGAGCGAAGAGTTAAGGAGTTTCTTGATCCACTTTCGATAGGTAGCAATAACACAATTGTGCCAACACAGTGTCTTAACACCTCATGGCGTGCGTATGCCACTGTGTCAACACACAAAAAATCGTGCCATTACCCACCTCTACCGAGAACGATTGCGGTGTAGCAAATGGAGAATGAAACCTGGTCTGATATTAGGGGTGCCATATAATTGCTTTTTACAAGTGGTGCCAATATTGTGCTTGAATCCAATGCACTTGGTTGCCACTAGTACACTAACATAAGTATTTTATAATAGGTAATTGAAATTGGCCTTGGGGTGAATACTTTAAAAAGCAAAAATAAATAAACAGTAGAAATCGTCAATTTTCGGGAAAAATCGTCAAATCGTTTTTAAGCTCAAAAATCGTCTAAATGACGATAAAATCGTAAATTCGGCAACGCTGATTGCAGGTATTATGTTTAATCTCAATTCGCCCCAAAGTTTAAGGCTGCCTAATCAGTAAAAGCAAAAACAAAATACATGTAAGGCGAAGAAATCAGCTCATATATCAACACCACCAAGGCGAGTTTAATAAGGTGATGCTAGCCGCATATAAGTAAAAAATTACGCTAACAAATTATACGCTGAAATTCATACTATCATTATTACAAATTACAACAACCACATCATTTTGACGTAATGTCTTTCACGGCGAAAAATTCAGGTTCGCCTTTAACACAACCTTATTGAATCCGCCTTGTATGCCACTTATGAAAATGTGCCACTGGCAGTGTTGCCATATTCGTCGTTTTAGCTCTAATTTGTAGTTGTTTAGACTTGCAGCCGGATTCAAGTATTCGCTGTCGATAATTTAATCGCCAAAAATTACCAGATATGGCTGCTTAAGCTGAAGCTCCATAGCAGGTTTTTCAGGCGTTGCGGCTTGAGGCGCTCAAGCCTGAAAGATGATTTAGTCCAATTGTATAGAAGCTGCTTCACAACCGGAGTCCGAAAAGCCTGAACAGTCTTAAAGTCCAACTTTCGAACTTGTTTCAGGCTTTGTAGGCTTTCCAGGCATTGTCTGACAGTTATTCATTCGATTTAAAGGAATTTTACACAAAGTTTATGCAAAACAAAATGCAAGAAAAAACTATTTATTGTTTCAACATTATTATGCAAAAGGGATTAAAACAGCGCATTCTCTTCGTTCTCTATGTTATTAACATACATACATATGTCTTTCCGCGTCCCATTTCAATAGATAGAGTTAATAAAAAAATATTCACAAATCAATTTGATTTTTTTATATTTTGAGCTTCCATTTTGATTTTCGCTCTTTATTACCACCAAACAATATTATGTGTATATGTACATATATATGTATAAAATTTTACAAAGTCCCATGGGCTATTTAAATTCTGGCTTTCGTAGTCACTACTAGAAATGTAAAAAGTTTAATTCGATCCGCCAAAAATTTTCTTTTATTTATCAATTGGCGCAAGACCAATCTGAAGTCTTGTTTCTAAAATTTCCGATTTGAGTGAATAAATTAAAGTATCTCTTTCGGGTTTTTTGGAAGTACATTTTAAAGATACTACGGGTCGATGGAAGTGCAGCGTCAGCTGCATTCCAGTTATGCGGCTAAAAAACCTTAATTCTACCGTTACAATTTTTTATTGATAAAAACACTGTTTTCCTTTAAATTGATAAAAAAAAAGGTAATCTGGCAACGCTGGGTACTGACCGATAACCCGAGGTACAATTTACCAGCTGTACATGGGTAGATACGAATGAACATATACCTACTTATGTATATATGTATACCCAGTGGGAAAATGGGAACGCATTACCTTTTTCTACCAAGAAAAGATTAACAACTACGGTTGTACGAAAAGATACATGCAATGTAATCGAGCGGATGATATTATGTAGTTTTGAAGCCACAAACACAACAAAAAGTTTGAGAACTAACTCAAGTATGTTTTTTTTCAAGTTACCTCAACAGCCCTGCAGGGAATCTATCCGTTTTTGTAACTTTTAAATTTAATAAAAAAAATATTTTTGTTTAATTTCTTTTTTTTTATGGCACAAGCATTTCTTCCCATATATATGTTTTTTCTGCAATGCAATTAGAATTTCAAATTTGTTATTTATTTATAAGCTGGAATAATTATTTTTACTTACATTGATTTAACTTTAAAAATCGTAACCACCTCCAAGCGGCCTCGATCCTGGGATTTCAGAACCAGAACTAGTAGTCTTCACGCCGACATTTGTAAGAAAAGCAATTAATTGAGTTTTATTTGTGGCTTTGGCAATTTAAAGGCAAATGTCGCTGAACGCTTAAGCTTTTCGAAATTGTCGATCTGGTAGGCACATACTATTTAATGAACTAGTATTTTTTCTAGCTGGCTTGAGTTTCCACTGCAGGGAGCTGCTGTAGCCGAATGAATGCGTGTTCGACTGCCGTGTTGTTGATCACGGGTTCAAAACCCGTGGCACGGATTTTTTTTTTATATAATAATAATAATAGATTGGCGCTTACACATATGTTAGTGTTTGGCCGGGCTTCCTCCGATTTGTGGCGTGCGCCTTGATGTTGCCACACAAAGCGGAGGGACCTACAGTTTTACGCCGACTCCGAACGGCGATTGTAGTTATTTATATGAGAAGCTGTTTTTCATGGCAGAAATACACTCGGAGGTTTGCCATTGCCTGCCGAGGGACGACCGCTTTTAAGAAAAAAAAATTTTCTATATTTTTTGCGATGTTGTTTTGACTAGGGCTTGAACCCAGGCGTTGCGGAGAGGAAGCGCGCACTGCTTACCACTACACCACAGCGGCCGACTTTTTTATATATATTTATTTTAATTATATTTTCTATAATTCTAGTTTCGTAAAGCGATTGCGGCACATTACTTTCGTATGACAACGTTGTAGAAAAATTCTTGCATCTTTTCGTGCGTAGGTTATAGGGCCTATCCATTACTTTTTGCATTCCCAAACATTACCTTTTCCTACTGGGTATGTGCGGATGCATACGAACCTATGTATGTATGTATGTGCCTACATACAAATGTATGAACATTGTATATATGTAGAATGTAGTTACATACGTAAGTAAGTGACGCGAATCAAGATCGGTTATTAATGCATACATTTGTACATAAAATAAAACCAAAACAAATTTCTTTATTAGTTATAAATTAACCAGGGTGTTGTATGTAGTGTTTTCACGGTACGGTCGTTTCGAAATAAAGTTTCACTATATAAAAACATTTTGATATTCAGAAGCATTGATTGAAGTGATAGTCACCATGCCGATCCTACGATATTATTCAAAACACACATGGAGCGAATCCCATAAGTTAAGAATATTAAAACAAATGCATCAAGTAAGAAAAAAATACATAAGTATGTGGTTAATAAATAATAGGTGGGAACATGTGGTTGCATACTTCTTTTTTATACTTACAGTGCTTAGTATGTATGCATGTAGGCTACATATGTAAGTATGTACCAGGGTTGTTGCGAATATTCGCATTCGCAACCGCGGAGCTTCCGCATTAATTTTAATATTCGCATTCGCAATAATCAATGCGGAGCTTTTGCGAATGCGAATCTTGTGCAAGTGCACCGATAAAACGTATATATGGCAAACAAAATGACAAATTGTAGCCAGTATTTTTGCCTGCGGTCGTGAAGATATTTGTGTAACAAAAGTGGTGTTACATATATTGGTTTCAATAATTTCAAATGAGGCTCTTTGGGGAATTTATTTTTAGCAAAAATTTAAAAAACGGTAATTTTGTTTACTTGTCGAGCAATATTTTTTTCATAAGGATACACATTGGATCCTTGGCTAAAAACTTCTGTGGTAAAATTGCCGCTTCTTTGCGATTTAAAGTCAAAGAGTAAGCTCCTTCAATAGGGATTTCCAGCAGAAATGATCAATGTCTGCTATAAAGAGAATCGATGCTCAAATAATTAAAAAGCTATAGGTCTAACCTTTAATTAGATAAGAATTACGTAACTATCTGATATTCAAATGCTTATAAAAAACGGGGTGCAATATTCTGATCCGATTCGGCTGGCAGCCCCGACTTTGAAAACAGAATTTTGTTAAAAATTTTCATTCCTGAAAATAATAATTTATTTTCCATATCCACCTATTTACCTCGCTATAAGCACACATTTTTCAAACCAGTCGCAGAGAAAGTATTAAAAATGAATTACAAAAACTAAAATCGAAAAACGGTAATGATGTTACAGATTCCCCAAATTTTGAAATAGCCAAAGGAATGAGAAGGAAGAATTTTTTTAAAAGCTTTAGAGAAACCTGACACATCTGGTTTGGCTTGTAAGTACTGTTTAAACAACGATCTCGTTATTAAGCTAGTTTCTAATTGTTTCTTAAAATTACCAGACATCCGCATCCGCGGATGTTAGCTGTTAGATATTCGCATCCGCGAATGTCTGAAATTCCACATTCGCAACATCCCTAGTGTGTACATACATACACCTATTTTATATCAATACCAGTGTTGATAATTGCATTTTCCAATTTCGTATGAAAATGTAATTAATATTGTACTTTTTATAACTAAATTGTACCAAATTTTGATTCCTATTATGTTTCTAATATTTAGTTATTGTGTACAACTTGTATTTAATTATTGTTCCTAATACAGTACAAATAATTGCTAAAAATTTAGAAACAAGGCTGTTGCTGTCTTCTATTCCAGCAATTTCACACTTCTGAAACAATTAGTGAAACAATAAGAACAAACGTATACGAACTTCGTCATTAACATAAGTTTTTTTTTCATAGTACGACAAAAGTTTACACAATTGTTTTACGTTTTTTCTATAATTTAGAATTTCTTCCTCTTTAGTTTTTCTTTGTTATAAAATTTATGTGATTTTAAATCTATCATCTAAGAAAGAACAGTGCGGCATAACTTAACGAATCAAGTGCTGCCAAATTTTAGCAGATGAAATATCTTAAAAAGTACTGGGCAGTAGGAAAGTAGAAAGCACTTGAAATTGTATCAAAAAAGTACAGTTGTATCGAAATTATCAACACTGATCTATGCCTCGGGCAATGCTGTCAAGACAATAAAGAAATTCGTATTAGTTAACAAAAAAAAGGCTGATAATTGTCTCTGTGGCGTCGGCATCCTGACAATAGTTATGACCAGGGAACGAATTTTTAGGACCTAAAAACCAGGGTGCGGAGAACGATCAAAAGACGATCTTTCTCACAACCAATCGCGGCCAAAAATTTAGTGTTTGCACTTTTTCCCGATTGAAAAAGTTGCGCTGCGAACAAAAGCATTAACGATCTCTTACGAGAAATATCAATGTTAAATGTTCAATCAAATGTTAAAATTACGAGAGGGAAGATTTCGCTGCAAGCGTCGTTCGTTCGATATTTCGCGATCGTTCGTTGGTTGCGAGCGTTTTTTGTGAAACTCTAATCAGTTACTCGTATTCACAATAGGCATGTTTTATTCAACCATCACAAGCAAATAGCTAAATCTTGGTCAAATAAAACGAAATTAGCTTATTTCCTATGTTAGCCTAATTTTGATAGTTGTTTGACTGCCAATAGTGTCAAAGTAAGTTTTTGCCCCTTTCTGATTGGTTGAAGGAGAAAATTTCTGATGCTGAATGGCAATGCCTCTTGTTCAATATACAAGCCAATATAGCTTTTCATAAGACAATATAATTATGTTGGGTAAGTCCTCCATACAAAATAAGCTAATAGCTTAAATTTCTGGACAAATAAAACACGGCTAATTTAACCAGTAAACAACCTTGGGTGAACTTGTCGACTGCCTTCCTCGGGGATGAATATGCCAGGGATGAAGTTATTGTTACCCACGCCTTCTAAACACGCAGGGTTGCTTTTGGGAAACAAAAAATAATTAGCTCAAAGTGGTTTCAAAAAGTATAGTCTAAAACGAAATTTATTAAATAATTATACATAAAATTATATACGTAAATGACTTACTATGTAAACTATTGGAATAAAACCTGTTTCATTGCCTTTTTTGTGCAAAATGAAAACGGTTATCTGAACGCTCGAAGCGCTGCCACTAAGGGCCAATTTTTCATTGCACGGCACGGTATATTTAAAAGAAAAAGCAGGCAACAATTTGGAATAAAAAATCCCGCGATGTTTTATTCTAAATTTTCATTAGCTCTATAGTAAACTATCGTTTTATATAAAAACTTAAAAAAACGCCGCAGGAATATATTAAAGTATGGTTTAATATAAAAAAAAAGAAAAAGCGCCGCAGGAGAAAATTTGGAATAAAAAATCGGAACAACGTCGTCTTCGTATAACTTACGTAAACTTTGAAACTTTTTTAAAGTATGCGGGAATATCTACAATCCCCTGAAACTTCAAAATGTAGACGAAAATGATGATGATGACAATTAATAATGACAATTAAATTGTTCAGAACTTTTGTTGTTTGATATTGAAAATGAGAATGTGTATATGAGTTTGAGTTTTGAATTTTAAAAGTACATTAGTAGGATTTATGAAACGTCGCAAAGTTGTTGCAAAATTTGCCACCTTGGGACACATCTGATTACTTTTGTATGGAAACTCTCCTGCGACAAAATTGCGACATTGCTACAATATTTGTGCTGGCAATCATTGCAAGTCGCTAAACACATGGGCGCGTATTCATAGTTCAGTTACTAAGTCGAAAATAATAAAGTTGCAACTTAAATTTAAGTACCAACTTAATATTCACTTCTATTCATAGTCGCATTTCAAACTTCTAGTAAGTAGTTTTAACTTAGTTTTACGATATAGCAAAAGAGTTTGAAAATGTATCGATTTTTCTTTACGATATTATGGAAAAATTACATTTTTGTTTTTCTGATTTTACTGGTATAAAAATTTTTTGATGCAAACATATATTCGTGGCTATGGAGGGGGAATTTTCGAAAATTTAAAATTGCTATATTTCGCAAAATTGTTATGCTCTATTTAACTATAATATCTACAATCCCCTGAAACTTCAAAATGTAGACGAAAATGATGATGATGACAATTAATAATGACAATTAAATTGTTCAGAACTTTTGTTGTTTGATATTGAAAATGAGAATGTGTATATGAGTTTGAGTTTTGAATTTTAAAAGTACATTAGTAGGATTTATGAAACGTCGCAAAGTTGTTGCAAAGCTTACCACCTTGGAACACAGCTGATTACTTTTGTATGGAAACTCTCCTGCGACAAAATTGAGACATTGCTACAATATTTGTGCTGGCAATCATTGCAAGTCGCTAAACACATGGGCGCGTATTCATAGTTCAGTTATTAAGACGAAAATAATAAAGTTGCAACTTAAATTTAAGTACCAACTTAATATTCACTTCTATTCATAGTCGTATTTCAAACTTCTAGTAAGTAGTTTTAACTTAGTTTTACGATATAGCAAAAGAGTTTGAAAATGTATCGATTTTTCTTTACGATATTTTGGAAAAATTACATTTTTGTTAAATAATGTCAAGTTTGATCATCCGTTTAAGTAATTTTTGCTTGCATTGCATGTTTATGCAAAACAATAAGGCATAATTTTCTTGTTAATTGTGTGAAGTAGCCAGAACAACTGCAGTGATGTGAAGTCGATGTTTATCGAAAGCATGCTGTGAAACATACAAACACATATCTAAATGTTATGCACTCATTTACTTTAAAAGGAACAATTGCAGAATACGGCCCGTTAAGGTAGAACAAATCGAAAAAGTGGGCGTGGTCTGCCCTTTTTTTCTGATTTTACTGGTATAAAAATTTTTTGATGCAAACCAACGGTTAACCGAAATCAATTTCCGACTTCGGATTCTTAACACCGGCAGTAATACGCATCGTTTGATACGCCTTTCGACTATTTTGGGTCAATTTTCGGTGGGCACGCTAAAGTGCACCACTACCGAAAAAAGAACTCGTATCGAAACCCGGTACCAAGTTAAATTTTGCTCATCAACGCTACATTTTTTTGGAGGTCGCGCTAGTCGGTTTTTTTTATAAAAACGCTGATGTTTTAAATTTTTTTATTTTCGTGCAGCTAAAAGTGTTGTTTTTACAAGTAATTACTCAGGTATTATTGGGGAAATGCCGCGCGTAAGTGAAAAAGAAAAGTTTTTACAATTGTATTTCGAAACAGCCTTAACTGATGTAATTTTTCTTGAAGTATTCGAAACAATAAAATATCATAGCGCATATTCATAGTCATATTTAGTTCACAACTAAGTCGAAACTATCCTAAGTTACAACTAAAGCTATTCATAGTCGCCTTAGTTTCGACTTTTCTGGCTAAGTACCAACTTAAAATTTAGTTTCGACTGCAGCTGCAATTAAGTCGTAACTAG